TCGATATTATTTATTAAGAATAAATTGCTCTATTGCAACTTGCAAACTGCTTGATTTATTATTTACCATATTAGAAATATTTATTTACCATGTGGTATGTGCTTTATAGAGTATATATTAGAAATAAAAAAAATTAACCTTAACTCCCTAAGGGTCTATAGTGTCAAGTTCGTCTAGGGCCTCCCAAATATCAGGACCGGCCTTGAACATTGTAATGAAGAAAACAGACACCAAATTCCCAACTTCTCTCACCCCTATATCAAGTTGTCACAACACCTATGTTAATTATATGACTAGAAGGCATGGAGCCTGGTGCTGTAGACTATATAGAGACTCGGACGGTGGTACACTTGAATGCAAGAACAGCTGTCCAGCTAGATTTGCCGTATTCTCTGATCGTGCACATGCTCAGATAGATGATCTGTTATCTTCTTTTTCTTTTTTCTTTCGTCTTATGTCAGTCTTCGCTAGGCAGCTAAGAAGAAACCGTCCTAAATAGTTAGTAGTTCTTTTATGTGATAAGAAAATTGTTGTACGTACGATAAACTTGATACAATCCAGTCATGCATGATAATTGATTGGGCCATGGAAACATTATCGTGGACCCTATATTTGCTGCATGCATTAGAGATTAGGAGGCATCCTACACTAATCGTAAGATATTTATCGTATGTATAGCAGAGCTCCTTAGTTATTAGATAACACAATTAACTTTTTAGATATTTATCGTAAGATAACCAAGTACTATGTAAAAACTACTACCTCTGTTTTTAAGATAACACCATTAACTTTTTAGGACGTTAGATTATTCTTCTTATTTAAAATAGTGTAAATATTCATACTTAAAATTTCTTTAATGATAAAACATATAAATAGAAGTAAATAACATTTATATTATTTTTAGTAAGACGAATAGCCAAACTTTGAACAAAAGGGTAAGGACGTCATCTATTAGAAAAAAAAAAGGAGGGAGTATATTTGTTTTGGTGTAGACAGCCACCATAAACAGTGATACATTCGCCAAAGGTTACAAGTGTAGATGGTCAATTTGAAATGAAACCAATGGTCTTTGCAGTTAATTAGTTCCAATGAGTCAATGTTGCAATGCAGAACATTAATTAACATTTCGTTCAGTCTTTGGGGTTATCTTCTACATGAATATACAGGGAAAAACCGGGTATGCAATGATGCCATTGCCGTCATATAATGAATTCCAATTTTCAGACTCGCGAGGCTCTTTGGTGGCTGAGAGGATTAGGACTTAGGAACATTTAGCCTCAACTGCATAATACGAAGTAGTATTGTGCATTATCAAACACTATCGTGCTGTTAACTCTAACTAGGAAGATAGCCCGCGCATATGTGCGGGCACTTATTTAATATTGCTTAATTTTTTATTACAAATGTTTACATGTAGATTATATTTTCAAAATAGATCTTCACTCTATTTTAAACATTTTTAGTTAATATCTGGTTATGACATATTACATGAAACCATATAGCCTTAAATTTGTGATAATGACATGAATTTATCAGAACATCATATGTCACGATAATAAAACAATAATGGAATAATATTGGAGTTGTTTCATATCTATTTGTACTATATGTGATTTTTTAACCTAAATAAAGTGTTTTTTAAATACTACCACGATAAAATCTCCAAAGGACCATATTGTTAGTTATATTTTGACAAATATCTATAATTTTGCGTCTCGTGTTTTTCAACGCCTATTCTTCATAATCATGGAAGACACCTTTACTAATTAATTTGAAGAATGAATCTATTTTCCCAAACTTATTTATAATAACTAATTGATTTGAAGTATACTTCATAGTCACTTGAATATAGTGCATGACATACATTCATCAAATTATGCCTGATATGATGGAATTCCTCAACTATAAGAAAATATATCATGAGTAGTTTATTGCATATGTTACTTGATCATTCATTTGTTATCAAAACTATATGACAAAGAGAAAAACATACATATGTGACCATAAATCTCATCATGGACTAAATGGTTGTATTATAAGCAAGATCACTAGCTTGAAATATTTTTCATAATTATTTTTTGCATTTATGTTGCCCACTTATCATATAGTTCAAAAAATTCAAAAAAAAAATGAGAATCTTAATCTTAGACATATTAAAATTAAATCATATCTACTTAAAAATACACAACTGAATTATGTTGTTTTCAATTATTTTACATATGTAGCTTTAAATTAGCATTATATAGCCATCAAGTATTATTTGACACATGAAATATGATTTAAAATTATTTAAAATAGGAAAAGTACGAATTACCCCCTAACTATTACGATCGACCGAATTACCTAATAAACCCGAAAACCAAACATCTTTCACCCTCAATTATTAATACCGGATGTATTACCCACCCCCCTCCCAAAAAAAAAAACTCAACCCAGAGTGGTTTTGGTCCTACGTGGTAGTCCAGTCTGCATTTAAAAAAAATAAAATAGGTGGGCCCCCTTGTTACACTCTCTACCCTCTCTATCCCTCCTCTCTCACCCCTCTCTCTCTCCCTCTCCCTCTCTTCCTCAATCCCATTCCCCAGCCTCTCTCTTCTTCCTCCCATTGCTGCTAGGGCCGGCCAAGCAGGCACACCATTGCCCCGCCACTCTTCTTCTTCTCCTTCATCTATTCCCCAGCTCTTGCTTGCTTGATTGATCCACCTCGTTGTCTCGTCGGGAGAGAGGCAGGTGGTGGGGATCGATTAAGAACCGTGGTGGGACGGCATGCTACGGTAGACAGAGCTGCGGCCGCATTTGTTGGGCGAGTTCTCGATGGCAGGGGCGTAGCCGAACCTAGCCATTGAGGACCAGCGCAGGTGCTCGCCTCCAGCAGCTGCAATTCTCGTCACGCAATGACGATATGCAACGGAATGATGGAGACGACGGCCTCCACTGGAGTGCACATGTGGCTGCCGAGACAACCGAGGAGGAGCCGCCTCCGCCGCTCAAGCTCCCTTGCCCTGCCGCTGTCATCCTCTTCATGTGCCGGTGGAGGTCGAGGAGAAGCCACGTGACCGTCAAGGAGGCGCGCGCCGGCGGAGGGCAAGGAAGAGCCGCCTCCGCCGCTCGCCACCCCTAGCCTTGTCGATTGATAGATGTGGAGGGAGAAGAAAGAGAGAGATGATAAAGGGGTACGGAAGAGATATGATATAAGGGTCCCACCATTTTTTTTAAGAAAATGCTAACTGAATTGCCACGTACGACCAAAACCACTCCGCGTTGAGTTGATCAGGGGAGGGAGGGTAATTCATCCGGTATTAATAGTTGAGGGTGAAAGATGTCTAGCGTTTGGGTTTATGGGGGTAGTTCGGTCGACCGTAATAGTTAAAGGGGTAATTCATTATTTTTTCAAATATTATTATAACATTATTTATTATATGTCGACCTCATGTGTTATGATGTATTTATGAATATAGACATCAATAGTTTATTTAATTAGAGGATCCGAGTGGGATCACAAATTAGATATATGATTTTAAAATAATTTATAGATAGGATGTTTAAAGAGCATTGATAGGATATTTTATTTTTATATTGTAAATAATCTAGTTTAACTATGTATATTTGCGTAAGTTTATAGAGTAGTATATTTAATTTTAAAACAGTAGAATCTCATATTTTATGGAGCATCGTTTTTTTCAGTGGCACTACGTACCTACTTTAATTATGTTTTTTTTACTTACTAATCTTTTTTATCGTAAATCGGTACACATGTTTTCTTTGGAACAGGGAGATAAGATTCATTGTTTCTTCTCCGTATGTAAGTACGTAAGTACACGGATTACTTACGTTTTGTTTCTTTGTCCGGCCTTAGATGTGAAAGTGTTACTATTTTTACATAACACATCTAGGGCCTGTTCAGATTATAGCTAAAATAAATCTTACTAAAATTTTAGCAAGTTGGCAATATTGCCAAAATTTTGACAGGATTTCTTATATATTTATCAAATTTGACATCAAACTAAACGTAGATATTTTTTTTTGACAACTTTGCCAAAAAAAAAATGGTATGGTTGAAAATGTCATCAATCTGAACAGCCCCCCTAATCTAATGGTCTAAAGTATCGGGTCCACCAATTTAAATGAAAAACAACGGTGAGATTAAACAATGCCATGTGGCGGTCTAGGAGTATTCGTAGAAACGCCACGTGGTGGCTTAAGAATATTTCTAGAAATTTTAATGGATTTTTAATATATTATCACGGGGAAAGAAGCCACAGAGCTGAGTTTCGGAAGGGCAATAATATCTTTTTTTTAAAAAAAAAAGTAAAGAGAGATTAAACATAGGGTTACATTTATGGTTCAATAAGTCGAGAATTATCTCAGGAGCGCATAAGCTACCCTATTTGTATCTCCTTATCTTATCACTTGCATGCTTTGTATAATATACATTGTATAACTCCTTTTACTTCCATCACCGTCGCTTCACACGATAATTCTCGACTTTGTGCATTTCCCATACATGTTCTAGCATCCAAATTGAAGGCATATGGAGGATGATAGTGTGGAACACTTAAAATGGCAGAGGAACACTTAAAATGGCAGTTAATTTCGTAGTTAAAAACGTGCCAGAACAGCAGTTGGATTTGCCATTCTTTCTGACGGTTCACATATCGAGCCAGTTATTGTTTGTTGAAGATGCTATCAGGATAGCTCATAGAATATATTTCACATATATGTCATACCTTTTTACTACATCAGAATTAGCCTGACAACGTAACTACGTAACTACAGTTCTATGTTCCAGAGAGGTTTCCTGGAAACAAAAGGTAAATTCATCTCAAAGTACACAGAAGACATTCTTTTTCCCTTTGCATGATATCATATCATATATTAACATATATCACGGAAGTAGACGGGCTTAGTTAACACCAGTGTGGTAGTTTTGCAAAGACTCATTGGCGATTATGTGTGTTCTGAGCCATGCACAAGGGAAATTGCAGTCGAACAATGCAGAATAATATAACCAATTCAAGGGAAATCTCCTTTGCATTTTTATTCACATTTCATTCAATTTTTAGGTAATCTTTTTACACATGGATGTACAGGGACAAACCGCGTACAGCAATGCTGTGTGTGCCATTGCAGAGTTAAGTGAGCCCTACCTTGTTCGCAACAGATGTGCCATGATGAATTCCAGATCACATCTCACCGCGAGGCTCTTTGGTGGTTGATGGTGGGGAACACTTGGCCTCAACTGCTAAATCTTTGAGGACTCCTCGGCATGGATCACCAAAGACATCGTTGGAAACACTGATAGCACATTTGGTGTTGCCAACACATGCCTGGAAATGCAGCAAACAAAAAATATTAAAGCACATATTGTGTTGCCCACAGAAAATATCTTCCTTTTAGTGCATATTTGCAATAAAATTTATATGTACAAAAATGAATTTCATGTATCTGCTTCCAATCTGATTGAATAAATTTATAGGGCAGACCCATGTAAATATGCCCAAACTCATCTTCCAATGAAACACAAAATAACTTCCAGCCAATAAAAACACCTTGAGGGGAACTTCAACCAACAAAATTTCTGTAGAAAATATTCCGAGTGTATTTTTGTCTTGTTTCGTAACGAATTTGATAATGACATAATTCACCCTTTTGCTTAGAAGTACCCAAACTTTAGACTAATGGCACGAGTACAAAAAACTAAATAGGTGCTTTCATATCATAAGCATGGTATTAGTCGATTCAGCAGTTGATACATGTCAACTTACCTCTGTCACCAAATCCAGAGTGCTCGATGCATGGCAATTCCCTTTGGAGAAGTTCAGGCAGCCACCTGAAGGAGTTCCATAGCTTGCAAATGTAATCTCAGAGATCACATGCCCATCGTCACACTGCAAGCGCAGTTCTGGAGTTGCTGCATTCACTGAGGCACGGCCACTGGAAAGATGCGACCAGGCAGAAAGGGGAGGATAATAATTTTCTGAAATTCTTGAACAGACTGTTTTGGCATAATGAGCCTCCAGTGATATCAGCGAGGGATCACCTCCTGTTTCCTCAAACAGAACCAATAAATTATCTGACTCTTTTAACCATTCTCTTGGTATGTGGTACCTAATTAGGAAATCACATGTTTGTTATGGTACACTTCACAAGCATATTGAAAAAAGAAACTGCAAACAAACTATTCTGATCCAGAAGTCTCAGAAGAAGATTCTATCAAACACACACAGGGTATGACAAAGTTCCAGTTAGATCATAATATTTGTTCTGTTTGTTCTTTATATCTATCAGGAGTATGATATTTCATTGGTAGGTACTGTGATTTCTGTCAACAAATTCTCCAAAAGATGGGTACAAAATGGGTGGTTAGCGTGCATGTAGCACTTGTAGTAAATGCAACAAATATGAAGAATTTTTATTCAATTAAATACGAATAACAGGAAACTAGAAAACTAGAAAATGAATGTCAAGCAATAATAGAAATATGCTAAAAGTATTTGTTCTCAATACCAGTTTTGTGTAGGCATTCCACAGTTTGATTGACACTTCCTCTCATTGTAGGCTCCTGGGTAGTAGCACGAAGATGAGCACCCAGATTCTGGCGCTACTAGTGACCAGTAGCGACCAATTAGATGCCCATTCACCCAGGCCTGACCCTTTCCCATGCTCCCAAGATCAATGGCAACAGGGTCGGTACCTTTAGGGGTACTAAACATGGTCTGCAAATACAAGACAATTCGTGAATATACAAAAGTGAAGTAGCTTGAATTTCCATCAAGTATAAGAGCAGGTACAATAGGTTGATTCAGCAGGCTCTAAAAAATTCCAACTCATCAGATTCCTACGTGGAGAGAGTAATGAAGAGAGAGAACCCAGCGAGCGACAATTCTATCGCCGGGCGATAGCACACGTTTGCATGCGGTTTAGCGATCAAATACGTGTGTTGCGGGCCCCACAACAACCTTATCCGATCGCATGTGGCCTTCAGTTTCCTTCCCTTCCCCACCCCCTCCGGGATCCAGGCCAGCCCATCGTATTCGTAGTTCTCATCTCGCAGAGTGCCGCAAGCCTGATCGAAACCCTTCACAACTCTGCCTCGTGTTAGTCTTCTGCGGCTTCGCCCGCCCAACCTCCCTCGCAAGGTTACACTGCTGCCGGCCGACCAAAATCTGGACACCGACGGGGTATACGTCATGAAGCTCACCATTCGTGGCCAGGTATGCCCCTGCTGTGTCCACCTGCCGCAGCACCGCAAAATCGGCCAAGAAGGAGCACTGCATGCTGATGGCGTCAATGCCAACCCGGCTGAGGAGGAAGCTGTCGTCAAGACTCGGGACAACAATGCTGATGGATCTGCGAACTGCCGCAAGGGATCTCATTGCGATGAAAGCAGAAGGTGGCTTCTTAATTTGGGTTGTCACCGTCTAATCCCTTTTGCTTTTCTTCTTTTATTTTCAGTGCTTTTCATATCGTTCGTCGAATGCATGTACCTATGAATTAGCAGGTAGTCCATCGAATGCATTCATCTGTTTGTTGTGATTTGGTATCTGTATATGTAGAGAGAGAACTCACGTGTATGGAACAACACCGATGGCTACAGAGATTGAGTTTACTTTTGATCATCTGTATTGATTTATGTGTGCAGGCTTAATTTTTTTATTAATGAGATGTAGCCCACGCAATAGCCAATTTATTATACAAGTTGGCTTTAGTATCAGCTGTAAAATGACATGAACATAAGTATAGCCAACAGCTAACTATACTATTGACCTTGCTCTAACATGAAGTAGTGAAGAAACAATAAATTTGCAAAAGTTCTGCCAGATTTGCCTGAACTAAGGAGATTTTATACGAAAAATCTAGTCATGCTGCCTCCATAAGTGTAATTTAGGGACATTTAGGGACGTATAGTTAGCTCCCTCAGAATAAATTGCTAAGCTGGACACCTCCCCGGGACGCACTGTTTGGTTCATTTCCTGAGCCACAAAGCTTGCCTGGCCTGAGCTACTCAGGCCTCATCATTATCTGGGCTCAGGCATCCAATGCAAGTTATGGAAGATGATTCGTGATTAATCTAACCACATTACGTAATTGGAACCTTGGCAATGCATGGCGGGTATTATGGGGTTATATTTTTTTTATTCCACAAACTAATAAGCATGCATGAACTTAATAGTGTCTCCTACAGACTGATTACATATATTCTAAAAGCAATAAAATTATGTGTATAATCCAAAAGTATCTTCTCTCAGGCATGCACACCAACAAAACAAGTTGTTCTCAGGCATGCTTGGTCAGGCACATTTCATCAAAATTTCAGATAGCTCTTACGCATAAAATTTTCTCAGGTACTTTCCTCAAGTCACCAACCAAACAGAGGCCTAAATACTACTCCCTCCATTTCTAAATATTTGACACCGTTGACTTTTTAGCACATGTTTGACTGTTCGTCTTATTTAAAAACTTTTGTGAAATATGTAAAACTATATGTATACATATAAGTATATTTAACAATGAATCAAATGATAGGAAAAAAAATAATAATTACTTAAATTTTTTAATAAGATGAACGGTCAAACATATTTAAAAAAGTCAACGGCGTCAAATATTTAGAAACAGAGGTGTGATACAGAAACATGTATATTCAGGTGAAATGGCAACTTACCTTGTACCAAGTGAAAGGCTGTACACTGTCCTTCTGCATGCGACTCCACCCAGCACATCCCTGCTTCTCTGGAGCATAAATCATAGAAAACTCGCCTTTCAAGCCGACCTGCATTTTAGACATAAATGTAACATGTGCTTGTTGCACTTTGCACTCCAGATTAGGAATAAATAGTTTATGTACACAACACAGAACCCCAGGTGTGGAATTTCTTGCAACGTATCAATATGACAGAGCCACATCTCTTTTAAAATGGCGCTAGGCTTATGAAACAACAGGTGTCAACAAGTTCTGTATCATGTATGCAACCTTTTGCTATTGCAGAAAAAAGTGTGAAAAAAAATGAAATATTTACAGTGTAAGCTAGGTCATTTCCAAACTTTATTGGTGTCATGGGCTTGGCCAGAGGGAACCACAACTATAAAGCCAGGTGGCAACAGATACTGTATCGTGTATGAAACCTTTGCTATCGCAGAAAAAACAAGGTGTGAAAATTGCATATTTACAGTGCCAGCTAGGTCATTTCCAAACTTTATTGGTGTCATGGGCTTGGCCAGAGGGAACCACAACCATAAAGCCAACATGTAGCTATATGTTGGATGAGATAGTTAACCAAGATTAGATGAAGATTTGTTAGAAGAACTCTCTCATTTAGCGCACAGTTTCACCTAAGACCTCCTATGTAAAAGGGCTGTTGTGGTGTCTTGGCAAGCACTAGTCTCATTCCATGAACCTTGTGGTGGGGACAAGGTTTGGAATACCATAATTCTGGATTTTCCCTGACAAAAATTTCAATTTTTGCCGGATAACAGGTAATTAGGTGGTTACCAGCTGGTGAGTGGCCAGAGAGAAGTCCATATCCTTAATTCCTTATTGGCAATTTTTTCTAACCTAGGTTATGCATGTTACAGTGTTTTATTTCTTTAGCGGTAAGGCAATGAATTTTTTTTGGTAAATGGCATCCGCAATTTGACAGCTTAGTGCCCTTAACATTAGTACTGTAGCATCTTTATCCTTCTATTGTAAAATTTCTATGGCTGCAGAGTTTTAACCATGCGACACCAGCATATATCCTTCCAAAGTAAAAAATTTCTTTGGTGCCATGGCAATGTGAATGGAAGAAAAGAAAACCAGACCAATTGCAGTCAAACAAGTCAAAGTAAAGATGAATAAAAATTCAAACAAGGCCTACGTTGTTACTAGAGCAGTGCATTGTTATTCTCATACTGAAAAACCACAACGTACTGTACCATTGTTTGGTATTCTGTATGGTTTTTTCGTTCTTGTTTTCTGGCAGTCAACCTTGTAAGAAATGGTATTTGCTGACATTCCAGAATAATTTGCTATTTACCGATCCTGAACCGTATTTTAAAAAAAAACAATGTATTTAGCAAACTAATAATACCGTGTGTACCGCACAACCGTATGCACAATCCGAATTGTTACAGAAAAAGTACATATGAATGGTTATTACCTGATATGTCCAAAGGGAATTAGTTAGGTCAACGTCCCCATCTGACAAGCCAGTGAGTGTTACTTGACCTCTAAATCCAGCTCCATCTTTCTCCAAGAAAGCACCATAGTTCTTTGCATTTGTCCAAGAGGTCATGATACAACAAACAATATATTATGTTTTGTACATGGTGACTATGTATGCAGATAAAACAGAAGCAGACATATAACCAAATAAAATGATACCATCACATGCACAGGCATTGTATAGATTGTTCTAGCTTCAACATAAATGAAAGTTCTTCGCTCACTATTACTTTGTCAAGTTTACAGGAATAGGAATAAGAAATTTTCACATACCAAACGTGTCCCAACCTGGGTAAAAACTTACAACTAAAACCACATCAATAAAAGGAAACCTACAAAGGATATGCCCCTTTTGCTATGTGTGGTTGCACCTTGAAATCTCATATTAATTAAAAATTTATTACAACAGATATGAATGCTCCTGGCCTCATGATACAAATGCTAAGCTTAAATGGAACATGAAAAAAATGGAATTAACGCATTCTTGAGCTTTGTAAAAATTCCACTTAATCCATTAAACTACAAATAAACTGGACTAGTCCCTTAGACTGAATGCTAACAGGGCTCAGTGACAGCTAGATAGTACGTTTTTGCTGATGGGTCTTAAAAGAAAATAGAGTTAACAATGTGCTTGCAAAATCCCCATCAGATGGATCTCTACAACAAAAGTCACTGCGATTACATTATGTCATCAAAATAACCTTGGAAATGTCAATTGACCCGGGTTTTGCATGTTTATGGGGTTGTGTGAGTTTGTTAAATGGACTTTTTGCAAAGCCCAGAGAGATAAAAATCAACTTCCAAAAAGGAAAATTCAAATACCTGCAAGCCAACAATCTCTGAAAGTAATGTCAACTCATTAAGCCCTTCAACCAATTGAATCGGTTGTTTCAGTGAGACCCAGTGACCAACTTGACTGCCTTCATATTGAAAGGAAACCTTATTAAACGACTGAAATATTGCTATCAATGCGTTAATGAAGAAATGTAACACCACAGCATGCAAGACTGCATTTTCAAATGTTATACCAAGACCAGACCATTTAATTTCTGAGCGCTTAACAAGATCCCAACTATGTAGCATGGGTACCTCCTGAAATGTACTGCATATGTACTAGACATGATTTGGTAACTTTTCTTTTTTGTTCATTTAAAAAAATAAAATAATTGGCAATAACTCATTACTTCCTCCCTGGTACCTCTAGGCCAAACCTCTTCCTTGGATGCCCATGGAAAGCCAGTTTAACTATCCACTTCCTTCGTACCTGGGCTATTTTTTTAACTATCCACTTCCTTCGTACCTAGGCTATCCTTCAGAAGCCTGGTTCACGGGATTTGGTTGCAGCAGCGTGTCAGCGCTTGGAGCAGGTGGTCAGGGAATGTTTTACCTAGGGACATGGGTGGCGGCCTAGCCTGAAGATTGGTGCTCACTAAATTTTACTGCTTTCCTTCTCTTGTTACAAACTCTTTTGTGGTTGTGTCTGTGTTTTGGCTGTGTGCATCCTAGTTATGCAGAGGCTGAGAGTTTTCTTAGTATGGTCCTATCAACTTGATGTAATTGTCTAAGATTAATAAAAGCTTCCTTTATCAAAAAAAAAAAAAGAAGCCAGTTTAAGGCTGCCAACTCGACAACTACCATACAAACTATACAACCTAATCCCCTCCATTGCATATCTAACTTCTATATTTTTAAATTATCACACACACGCGCGCACGCGAACATGTATCAGTGTTTTAGGGGAAACGGCTTACCACGGTATCACCTTATCACGTACTCTAATCAAATGCTCTACACAAAAAGCTTACAGACAGGAAGCTTAAAACAGGTGGGCTAAAGTACTTCATTACCCAATACTTAATGTATCTCCACTCCAACTGATTGTACAATTATATCATGGGGTGAATAACAGTTATATCCAAGTAGGGAGGTTGTCAGCCCATGGGGTGAATAACAATTAAAAGAATGTAATAAGGATGCGGAAAAAGGTCTCAGTTCTCTCATTATCCTAGTGGCTTGGGAGATTTGGAAGCATAGGAATGATTATATGTTTTAATGGGGCTAGTCCTAGTGTTATGGCTGTCATTCAAACTGTAGCAAATGAGTGTAGCTTTTGGTGTTTGGCCGTAGCCACTAAGCTCGGAGAGTTCCTTAGAAGGTCGCTTACCCCGGTTGGGTAAAGTTGGGTAATGTGAGCCTTTTGTTTTGTAACTTCTTTTAAGTGCTTTGGGGGAGAATGACGCTTTAGTCACTTCCCCGTCTTTTATTCCTTCTTAATGAAATGAGCATACTCATGCGTATTCCCAAAAAAAAACATATAAACACTGACAAATTAAATGCAAAGCATTTTTTTCATAAAGATTAAGAAATTGAAATTAATACCTGCAAGCTTGCCATTTACAAATACACGAGCTACATCACGAATTTTATCTATTGTTAATGAAGGAAGAACCCCTTTCGAACTCCAGAATGCAACGTCTGCATCAGAAATATTTACCCTGTTGAATTGAGAAAATGTTAATAGTAATTATACTGTTGAAAATAATGAGGATTGTCAGCAGACTATATGTGCCATTCAAACTGCATACTGGTACAGGACAGTGAACATGACATCATTTGAAGGTACTCTGGGTTGGAATTTGAAATTCTAAATAGTGGAAAATAGTCAATATATAGTAATATACACAGTTGAAATTTCATTGAAAAATGAAATTGAATGGAGAGCTCAGTCTGCTTTCGTGTTTGCATGCAAGTAGAGTGCTAAAAAATATTCTACATAAGATAACTGGGAAATTAACACCCAATGTGAGGTCGACAAGTGGGCTTGGGACACTGGCAGTAATACTACTAAAATATTGCATTCTCTTTTTGTTATTTGAGGAATCAAATTTTCCCCATGCATAAATCATATCACTAGAAATAATACTCCTTTTGGTGCTGATGATCATCACCAATAACATTTTGGGCACGAGTGTACACACTTGCACACAAAGAAACATTATCAGAATGTGTACTTCAAAATGTCGAGTCAACTAATCATGGACTGAATACAAGAAAAATAATAGCAGATGGTTCACTACAGAATCTGATCTCACAAAATCATATATTCTCCAACAGCATGTACTCAACACTCACCTGGTAGTATACCACAAGTAGTCAGATATGTCCTTCGTTACGTTCAAGTGCTCTAATATTCCCTGAACAGCAAAATTGTTTCCACCCCAAGTACCAATAGTCTCTTTAGAAGTCCACCAAGTACTTGAGAGATACGGACCTCCAGATGTAAGTGAGAGGATACTAGGCTTATGTCTACTTGAACGACTGGGAGACCCAGATTCTACAGTAAAAACTGAAGTCTGTGCACCAATCTGAAAAATGTACAAGTAAACAATAAGAGATCGATCATTCATTTTATGTCAATATTTCATGTACCATGTATAAGTTTGACATTTAGACTGGCATCCAAAATCTTGCAGGCACTTTTATGTTGTATCCTAGACTGTGTGACGAACTAAGAAATGCATGAATAACAAGGAAAAAAAAAAAGGCTTCAGATAAGGTTCTAGATTCCAGTGACAATAAACTACATCAATGGTTGCTGGCATATTCCCTTAAAAAAGTGGCTCCTGGATGCTCCGTATGTCATAATGCAGATGCCATAAAGATTTCATGGGTCAAAACATAGACAAATATTTGAGAACAAAATCAGACAAAGATATTATTCTTTGGGACAAAAAAAAATACCTGAGCAGTTATAAACTTACACAAATACTGTAAATGGTGATTTAAAAACATTATGCTGTTTAAGGTTGGTAAAACCTTGGGTGAGGTCATCTTTTAGTTGTGTGTTTTTTCATGTAAAGGCTAAGGCCTGTTGGTGGTTTGGGTAGGACTTGGGAGCTGCTCCCTCCCCTGTTCCTTTTTTTTCTCTCCCTTTTTAATAAAATGATACGGAACTCTCTTGTGTTTTCGAGAAAATGGTTGGTAAAACTTCTTTCTAACCAATTGGTAGCCTTCTGTTCTTGAGGACAGATGGGAACATGTGATTTTAACACTTTCGATTTTAAATGGATTCTAATAATAATCTGGGAAACTATTTTGTAAAATGAGCTACGCATATATCACAAGAACTTATAAATGTGCATGCAGTAAATTTCACGGCTTGTATTCCAAAACACTAATTTGTCATGAAACATAATTAGCATTTGCCACTATCTCTCCTATAATAATATGGGCCCAGGTATTGTAGTGGTGCAGTGGCATTAATTCCACCCAGCCACACAGCCACCATAATATCACGGGCAACACGAAGTTGAGGACAAAAGGTCAACAGGGTGTAATGTAAACATGGGCCCATGGGAGGGCTGCGACGCTGCTCATAGAGCAGATTTTGGAACTGGTGTATAGTGTGGTGAATAAATTGACAGTTTTAGTATTGTTGATTATCTCTTTGACGTGTTAAATTCAGTGGATGTGTTGCTACCATATTTTAATATGGAGAATTTACTGATAGTAGTAGCATTCTGAACACAGTTTTGTATAACCACTCTGCACAATTCAAATTCCAGTTCGGTCTGAAAAGTCAACAACATGGGTACTGACTACTGAGACCAGGCCATCACCAAAACCACCACAAAGGCAGTTCCAGTAGGTTTTTGGTCAGTTTCTGGATAAATATTGAGTATTCAGTTTTGCAAGGTTAATTTTTGGTATACTCAATCCAGGTAACAAGTATATGTCAAGGGGATATGTAGGAACTGGACAGAAATCTTTAAACCAAAAAATATGGTGTGGGCAATGTGACCACAAACCACTGGAACCACCAGAAGGGAAGTTCTAGAAAGTTTCTGTGCATTGCAACCTAAACTCAATTGTATTTGCATAAGCATGTGACTGACTCAACACTTATAGCTTCATAGGAATATTGCATGCAATTAGTGACTACATACCCGTGCAGTATTGAAGGCCACATTTTCGCAATCTGGTAGTATGCTCACAGACCATGGTGGTAGACTATAAGATTTACCAAAGATCCAGACTGATGCATATTTATGTTCATCAATATTGGCAAGAAAAGCTGAGCAAATCTGTGCATTTCCTGCCATGCTTCCATTTGTATGGACTTCTCCAGTGGAATATACATGTGCCTGAATCAACAAGCAAAGCATTGTTCACAATATAAGATGTACGCAATGTAAAATATACATAAAGTAAGTCAGCATCCCATGCCAAATATAACTGTATAACTTAAGCCGTGTGACTGCTATGCTAATAGCCATCTACTACCTTTGTTCATAAATGTAAGATGCTTTAGATAATGAACACTCAAACTTCAATAACATTGACCACAAATATATTTGTCAAAACTATCACTTTGATACAAGCCTACAACTTTAGATGGGTATTTCACAAAACGGCAACAATAGAAAATGGTTTATCACAAAACTGCACCTTTACCCCCCCCCCCCCCCCTCTTGTGTGTATGACATTTCACAATTTGGTCCTTTTGAAAAACTTATTTCGCAAATAGACCCCTAGAAAAACTTATCCCAGAAATGGTCCTTTTTGGGGGCGCCAGAGTGGCTGGCACCGTCCTCCTGCCGACGTGGCGGGGCGGTGCTGAGGTGGCAGGGGGAGCGCGCTAGAGTTGCTGCCCCCCCAGGGGATTATTTTTATTTTTATTTTTTTGATATTTTTTTACACGCTTAGGAACAAACAAAAACCAACCATAGAAAAAATGAACTCAAATAGACGAAATATGTGACCTGTAGAATTTTTCCTCTACTCTCTAGTGCAAAGGAGATAGATGTGCAACTTTTTTACTTTTATTTTATTTTTTTGATATTTTTTTCACACTTAGGAACCCACAAGAACCAACCATAGAAAAGTTTAACTCAAACGGACGAAATATGTGACCTATAGAATTTTCAAAAGCTCTACCGAAAAGCTTCTTGCCTCGAAAACACAATCTTGCAAGCTGAATTTGGAGGTTTTAATATCACCGAACCCGGCGAAGCCAAGGAGAATCGGATGTAACTTTTTCTGTAGATGTCCGTGGATATATTATTTGCCTGATTCCGAGTCCGTATGAGAAAGTTACGTCTATTTTAATAAATGTCACCCGAATGACGCCTATTTTCGGTAGAGCTTTGGAAAATTCTACAAGTCACATATTTTGTCCGTTTGAGTTTATTTTTTCTATGGTTGGTAGTTTATTTTTTCTATGGTTGGTTCCTGTGTTCTTCTAAGTGTGAAAAAAAATATCAAAAAAATAAAATTAAAAAAAATTGCATCTCTCTATACTGTTTAACTTATGGCTATCATTTCATGTGGTTATATATTGTGAATTAGATTAAGTAATTTCACCTATTGGTAGAGTGCATTATGTTTAACATGCTGATCAAAGGGTTTTACTAAAGGAGTTATGGTCTAATTTTGGTGAAGGTGCAAAGTAAGCTAAGTGGTATGCTATTTTCAAACTTCTAGCTAAGTGGTATATTCCATTCGAGTTTAAATTTTTTTTGTGGTTGGTTGTATCGTGATTCTAAGTGTGAAAAAACATCCGAAAAAATAAAACAAAAATAAAAAGGTTGCAACTCCATATAGAGAAACAGGAATGGAGGTGAGGGGGGGGGGGGCACACCAGCCATGGCCGCGCCCTCCTCCTGCCACGTCGGTTCGCGTGTGCCACGGTGACAGGACGGCGCCAGAGAGGCTAGCGCCATCCCATTGGACTACGGCGCCTGCCAATCTGGCGCCCCAAAAAGGACCATTTCTAGGATAAGTTTTTTTCAGGGGTCTATTTGCGAAATAAGTTTTTCAAAAGGACCAAAATGTAAATAATCCAGGCACCTTTTACCCCCCCCCCCCCCTCAAAATGGTTGTTAAGGCGTCGCTATAGCGGTAAGGCGGTTGCGGAGGTCAAGGCGTCCACTCCGCCTTAGAGGCAAAACGAGTAGAGAAAGGGAAAAAACAGGAAAAACCAGTAAAGAAGGGGAAGGAAGAAGAGGTAAGCTCATCATGGAACCTAGTTGGCTTGTAGAGAAAGAGAGAAGCGGCCAGAGACATTGATGGCGGCTGGTGCCTCTTCTCGTCATGGCGGCTGGTGCCTGGTGGCGTACAATGTCTCTTAGGGCATAAAACACATGGGTATGAAGACTAATGTTGGTCTTTGGTGGGCTGGTTGCCTGGCTTAGTGGGCCTTTTACCAATTTCTTTTTTTTTTCCTTCCTAATTTCTCTACCATATCCTCCACTAATCACGCCTCAATCATCTCATAAGGCGTCGCAACGCCTTACGCCTCAGCGCTAAGGCAGTGGTGGGTCGCCTTAAACCGCCTTACCGCCTTAACAACACTGCCCCCCCCCCCCACCCCCCATGTGTATGACATGTGGACCTGGCTTACACCAGCATACGTATTGCATGTCTGTATGACAGGCGGGCCCAAAACATGCCAAGCAAATAAAATTGCAGTTCTCTGATAAAATCATACACTATTGTCACAGTTCTCTGAAATGTCTAGATAAAGTTGCAGTAAATTGATAATTTCGACAAAATAGTTGCAGTAATCTGAAATTTACTCCATATCAAAAGGTCTTTAGAACTTTTCGTATGAAAATGGAGCCATTAGATTCATCATGAAAAGTTTAATAATTTTTGCGGTGTTTATTGGAGACAATGGGATGTCGAAGACGTGATACATTGTAGAATAGAGTATTTTAAAATATTTGCTTTCTCACCAATCAATATGAAATAGTCCACGGAACAAATTGTTCACACAACATTGTTCAGTGGCCAACTATATCACATACTTTTTCATGTTCCTAACTTCAGAAAATCAACCAAGCAGGGGTGACTGGAGATACCACCTAAACGAGAACAGATTCGATAAATATAGCATGCCCTGTCCCTCGACCTTTTTCGGAACAGAAAGTCGGTCAAATTCCCTTTCATGCAGAGTCAAATAACTAAGAACAATATGCCGTTTTAGTTGTTTGCGATGTAATGGAATTGGCTATTTAATCAAGAAAAACAAATTTTGAAAATCACGTGCATTAACAAGAAAGAGATCGGCAGGGTCATCTGCCAAAATTAAAAGGGTTTATTTATGCCATTTCATTGGAATCCTGGTGCTTCCATTAGGACCCTAGAATCCAAGTTTCCAGAGATCAGCAGTGCATGTAAGTCCCCCCTTGACATGCCCATAAAGAAAGACAAGAAAAAATTGAGTGGGCAGGTTACAAAATCCAGCAAGTTACTGGTTAACCAGTGGTACAAATAGTAAACTGATTGATTCGGGGTATCTTCGCATTGATTGTGTGAGCGCTTGTATCTAAAATCTAAATGTTACTTGAAGTTGAAACTTCAAGGAATTTAGAGAACTTTGATAAAATTCAACTTTTACCTATATAAAAATAGTAAGCAGCTAGTTTCTGCCTACTAGAGGGCAATTTTGTCAGCCAAGACATAGAGTAGCTAATCCCTCAAGAGACAAGACAAACTAATATCAAAATTAAATATGTAAAAGTAAATGTCATAGTAAACTGAAGCCTTGCTGCTCGCTAGAGAAGAGTTGTATGAATGGGGTTTGGCCGGGGCTAAGAGCATTCTTGCCATCATCCCGAATGGTGAATAGTTTGCTTGTATTAGGTTGAGGTCGTCTTTTGGTCTCATGTAAGGTTTATGTGTGTGTTGTAAGGGTTCTTACCCTCTATTTTCTTCTCATTATTATAATGATATGCAGCTCTCCTGCATGTTTGAGAAAAAAAAAATGTCATATTAAACTTCTGAGATCATCAGTTTTTGTCCTTGGACTTCTCATTCAGGCTCATTCTGACCTCTCATCTTTTATTTTCTTTAAAGAAAAGGGCAAACCCCTCTCGTTTTCTCTTGCATGGATAAATATATCCAGTAGTATTCATCCCATAGGGAGCTATGTTGGCTGCTCACTTGGTGGAACCATGGAGCTTGCACATGTAAACAGATTTAATTTAAAAACCCAGAAAAAATGTGAGCACATAAAGCAAAGTTTACAATGGGCAAACATTTGAAATAGAGGCTCCCGTGGGGTAATAAAGTAGAGCTGCAGCTATGCAGACATGATAACAGTCAATAGATGATTCTTTTTAGTTCTTTGATGGCCTGCATAACTCTACCGGCTGCTGTATGCAGTAACCAAATCCAGGTCACCTCATACACCCATTGATCCTTCCATAGCTTTACATATGTCAGTCTACCATTATTTTTTTTAGAATGGAAAAATTAAGTAAACACGTAAACATCAAATTGCTGGAACAAATGGTGTCACTTTCCCCAAATAAAAAGGTAATAGAATTGTTCAGAAAATGTGTATAAAATCAAAACAAAGAAGATGACAACTAACCTCTTGCATTGATCCTAACTTTATATATTGAGGTGAGCCATCCACTGCAATAAGAGCTGGCTCACAAAGTTTGATAGCAGTGTGTAGATCTTTCAGATGCCCCCACTTAGGCTGCCTTAATATACCTGAAAATAGCAATTCATGGATCTTAGGTAGCATCTCTTTATATAAAACAAAGAAACACCAATATAACTTAAATAGAATAAGATAAGGTCCTAAAACATCTAACATTTATTTAGAACTTTTACATACCATACTCATCGATTGGAGCATCATAATCGTAGCTTGTTATCTGAAGTGGACCACCAGCTGTCCGTGCAAAATTTGTTCCACCAAAGTACTGCAGAATCAAATATGAACTATTAGATCTAGTTACTAAAAATCATAATTGCTCGGAAAACTATTCAAAAATCACTACAGTCAAGCCTAGGGAAAAATACTTCATGATGGAATAAAATATGCATCAATAGTTGAAGACTAAAAACTTACTTAAAGTAGGACAAAAATGCATACAAGAGTGCGGGCCAGGGCGGGCGAAAGGTGGTGAGTGGTTGTGTTATATACAAGTGCCCATATTTCTTCAAGTAACCCATCTTGAAAAATCTAGGCAAGATTTATATAGCTGTCTACCCAGATCAATAAAGGAACAGCAAGTAGCTAGTATCAATCGGGTTAGGTGTGGACTAATTGATTATGGCCTATGGTATCAGCAACAGAACTAGTTATTTATTATGTTCGTTTAGATTCTCATAGACATTTACACCAGTTCAACGAAAAAATGAAGATTCAAGGAGTGCACAAAACTGTACAGATTTTTTTGGCTCAATGCAGGCACATGAAGTAAATGCTAGTGACACCATTCTTCTACAAGAAAATTAGTTGGATGCCCTCGAATTTTGCTCAATCCTTTTCGTGCTGTGTTATGTTTCATCCCCTATATGTCCCTATGTTTTCCTTTATATCTCCGACTGCCCATTCTGTTAGTTGATTGTAAGTTGACCGTGAAGTTTATTAAACTGGCCATATTATCATGTAGCAAAATCAAAACCCTCGCCACGAATTCCCTTTCAGTTAAATGGAATATTTTTAGGAAAAATTATGTAAATCAGAATACCAAATTTGGTTGAAATTAACCTGAAATTGAAAACAGTGTTGATCCTCCAAATTATGGGTAGAATACCCTTTTTTTTTCTGTTACTAGTAACATGCACGTACGTTGTAACGGGACAAGCCATATAATTAGGGATGGGCCAGGAGGATGATTGAGAATGAAACATTGGATCCCAGTGGTTACTTTCCACGCATGGATCGTGGTGGGGAAATGGGATGCAGGTGATGAGGAAAAAACGAAGGGGCATAAAATAGTACGAGAGATTCAGGGGCACACAAAAAAAATATCTCAACAAGAGACAGAATTGAACATATCCAGCACACCTGTTTGAACATCCATTTTTCAAATTATATATTGTACAATTATAAAAAATATAATGATATCAAAGTGTTTGGTAATGCAAATAATAAATAGCTATTTATGTCATAAGTCTAAGTACTTTCATGTATACTAGTCATCAAAGGTTCTAATGTTGATGGCACGTGTGCTATGATGAGTAAAAGATTGATGTATGAAAGCCAAATTGTAATACAGATTTTTAAAAGATTGGCGTACGAGGACCAACATTGTTTTCAATTCGAATACTTTTAATGTTAGCAAAAGAATTAACCGATGGGACATTTAAGGAAAAAAATTATGGATTTCAGTCTCTTCAACAAAAATCTTACCATGTAATAATTTTGTAAGCTTCCACCTCTTTGGTAGAAACGAGCAACAGCAAAAGCACTGTCTTCAGCTGGCCTGTGAGGTAATGCTCCACCCCAATCAGCATACCTGTCCACCCCAGTCAGCATACCATGTTATGCTCAAAACAAGAAATTGTAGAGTCAGAGTGCACTTTGAGAATAGCAAATATATTATCAAGCAATACAGTGAAATATATTATACTCAAAATAATAAACAGTGGAGTGACTTCGAGAACAATAATATATTGTCAGGTAACACAGTAAAACAAAAACTGGATGAAACATAAACTAATGGTAATTGGTGCCTCACTAAATTAGACAAACTTGAAGTGTTTATCCACATACGAATATTGTTTCAGTGATACACTTATCATATAATCGACCACATGGTAGGTCTAGGGATGGAAAATAAAGAGCTTTTCAAAACTGTGTACAATGCAATGTTAATCTACTTAAATCATCAATCATTAATATGTTATTCAAACAGTTTTAAAATACAACAACAAAAAAAAAACATTTTTTATACAGCAGAACATTTTATGACAACCCGAAACTAATTCTCTCACAATCCGGAATTTACATTTTGTAGGATCTTTTGGTAAGTGCTCCCTCCGTTCCAAAATGTAAGGATTGGCCGGCCTTGCACACCAGGCCACCAGCATGCATCTCACAACCACAAGCATTCCGTCATCCCCCCCCCCCCAAACCCCCACCCACCCACCAGCAGCATTGGAGTTAAAGGAGACAGTTTCGACGTTCCCATGTTTTAGCATCTCCCTAATTCCTGGTAAGTCTTCACAAGTTTGCTAACTAGTAAAGCTTTTATGCATAGAAAGACTTGTACAGTTTAATACTCAAGTGAAACATGCTATCCAACTGATGACCTACTCGACTGAGTGGGTCAGGTCTAACACTGGTACTCATGGAAAATTGCTAGGTTCTAACAGTTTCAAAATGTTCATAGAAGTAGCAGTGGAATCCAGGAAAAAACCACGTACCATCCATCCCAATCTTCAGTCCATATTGTTGGTTTATTGTAAGAATTTGGCTTGAAACCATCGCAATAAAATGCATTGCATGTATCGATCTGCCAAAAAGGATGAATTAGCTACTGACCTACTTCATGCAATTACCAAAACAATATAATATTAACAAGAATCAAAAGATTATGAGGTCACCTACAATTTCTTCTGGAGCATCAGTCTGCCTGCACATCACCCAAGGAATGCCAGTGTCAAGCCCAATTGCCATCTGAGCGGCCCATTGCATATATCTCTTCCCTGCTTGGCCATAATTTCCTTGAATATTCCCATACTCGTTTTCAATCTGTCAAACATTCCCCACAGAAATGCCAGACAAAAAGACAAGTCATGTGGACATGTGCCCATTTTCATTTCAACTTTTGGACATATATGGTATTACTAACAAAATGCATAAAAGATTATCAGCAGTCATATAAGCATGGCAAATATATACTGTATCCTTCGGTTTTGGATGTGCAAGTCAGAAAAGTAACATATGAAACTCAAAAAGAAAAAATAAAGAAAAGAAGTGCATATGGTATTGTGGTCCTGTTATTGACCAATTTGGTCATGATAACACATCTACACTGGATGCTAATTCCAGTTTTCTTGTATCAACTTGTCTAAAACCAATATTGAGATTTCAAAAGACTACATTGTTTCCATTACCAATAAATACAATTTACTGCACCAATATTAGTGATCACGAGTACTGCTGTCAGTTTGCCATCTGTATTCCAAACAAAATAATATTGATGACAGATCTTCAAGGATTTGTATCACCTAGATTTAGCTATGCAATATAGTGCATATTCTTGTTGAAAAGTCAAGAGTAACGAAGTTTTTTGTTTCCTTGGAAAAATGTTCAACTGACTGGAGAAATAGCATCAGAGAATAGTATAAAGACCTGTTGTAATATAATGGGACCACCTTGCCAAGAATAAAGTTTCTCCTCTTTCATTAAAGTGACAATTTTTGTCACGAAAGTCTGCATTTCAGCCTGTAAACATTTAGAAAAATTAGTTGTTACAATGGTGTTTGCGCATGCCCCTTGAAAAAACATTTTGTAATTCTGCATTCTTTCCTGTCAGACTTTGGTGTTCAAATTTGAAGAGTTTGAATAATATAAATTATCAGATGAAAGTAATATGATCTATAGAAGGACATGTGTTTACCTTGAATGGTTCATTGTCAGTTCGGAATTCTATGCCAGGGATGTCACGTAACCAAACTGGGAAACCACTGTAGAAATGGATGAAGAAACAAAGGTAAGTAAAAGAGAGAAAAATTATGTAGCGTTTCTCAATAGGAGAATTATAACCAGATAGAACTGTGTAAAGTTTAAAATTATAGAGGAAATACAATGAATAAACATCAAAGTTAATTGAAAGAAGAAAAACACATGTCTAGATTAATATACGAACAGCCTAGAGTACATAATGGGAGAAATATATGGCTCTCTAAGTGTTTAGACTAGCTTCATTCATGAGAACAACTGTGATACTGACTTTTTTATGCTGATCGATATGAGAATAAATTAATGAGTAAATTATTCATAGAAAATCCTAGAATAGCCTCCTTAGCTTGAGTGGCATTATACTACAGGCACAAATGGTTAAAACAGAAAATGGCCAACTAAATTAAGCATGGCATCCCCTCTCAAAAGTTTTTTTTTTTAAAAAAAAAAAAAGGAACAACATTATCATAGGGAATACTAAATGTAGTTAGACCCACAAAATGAAGGTTCCAGTCAATGCCCAACCATTACTAATTAAAGTAAGCAGTAGCTATGGTGAAGATATGCTCAAGCTAAAAAGGTGATATTGTAATATTTTTACACTGTTCCTTTTTAGTTAATGCAGTGTGTATGTGCACAAGCTAAAAAGGATTGCAAACATGTAACAAGCAATCTTTTTCGTCTGACACAATTCAATACTCTAATAGGTACAACTGATATGAAGTAAATGCTAAGATATAAACAGACCCGAAATTCCATTCTGCACAAGCATATGGGCCGATACGAAGAAAAAGAAATAGACCTTCGGCAGCAACCAGCTTCGCAAATTTCACAAGATCAATCTTCGCAAATTTCACAAGATCAAATCTTTCTTCAAAGTAATACTGGGCAAAATGCATGGAACAAACATAAATTAACACTTAAGTACCAGAACCAATAGAAATGAATATTTGAGCAACTATATTACCTGACCTTTGGCTGGCTCATGGCCATTCCAAAAGACATAGGTCTCAATTACATCTGCGCCACCCTCCTTGCACTTTGCAATTAAACTAGGCCACATCTGACATAATTTGTATATCAATTAAAAGAATCCTAAAAACAAGGAGTAAGACATAGAGATCACCAACTTGTTTCTATACCTTGCAGTGAACAAAAAGGGGAAAAAATAACAGGAGGAGCAGGTGCTGAACTGAAAGACACTACTACTCTTGTAACATTGTAAAAAACAAGTCATGTTATATATTATATAATGCTAAATTGATATGCTCAAGCCCAATGAATTCTAGCACACAATGTATTGGAACATCTGCAAGCGAAACATGTGCTCAGAGCAAATCAACGAGTAGTTTAACCAGCATAGCAGGTGAAAGCAACCAGAAGTTTAATAATGATGGCTGGATTAACAATGTCAAGTATGCTTCAAAACTGCGCCATCCCGAAACCCAATGGTTCAGCGCCTAAACGGACCGTAAAGCTAGAAGGCGACCAACTAAGATACAAAATATACATATCAAAGGAGAAATTATCAACGATCTCGCACCAAGAAGGCGCCTCCAAACCGGAAACAACGCCAATTTCAGGCTGCTAATCCCAGAATCCCAGGAGTCCCACTCCTCCGGAGCACACGCTCACACTAGCATCCACCTCCACCCACCCAACCCATCTCGATCGCAGCATCCACAACCAATCCCACACCACCCAGGCACCCCCAACCACCGAATCCGCCCCACCCCCCCCCCCCCCCCGCCCAAAAACCAAGCCAAGCAGAGGAGAGGAGAGGGGAGAGGAGGGCACAGCCATCACGGCCTCGCGCACCTCGGGTGTGGCGCGCGGGTAGTGCAGCCCCGCGGAGACGAGCATCCTCCGCTTCCCACCGATGAGCACCGCGCGGTGGTCGTACGTCACGTTGAACGGCTCGAAGAAGTTCCCACCACCACCGTCGTCGCCCCTCCTCCCAACCACCTGCCTCAGCACCCCCTCCGCCCCCGCATACGCGGCGGCGGCGGAGCAGCCGAGCAAGAGGAGGATCGCGAGCAGCAGCGCGAGCGCGAGGGCTCGGAACCCTAGAAGCGGCGGCCCCCGCGAGGCGGCCATGGCGGAAGCGGTGAGAGCTCAGCGGAGGCGGAGAAGGGGAGAGGAGCAACGGTAGGGGAGCGACTGCCACGGCGGAGGAATATAAGGAGCAGTGGACTCTTTTTTTCTTTTACTCGCTCCGTTTTATATTATAAATTGGTTTGATTTATTTCCTAGTTACAGTTTTTTCTCCACCAAACCAAAAAGTTTAGCAACATTAAATGTATTTTAATAATATATGTATTTTATGTTGAAAATGTTGCTGTATTTTTTAAAAAAAAAGTGGTCAAACTTAAAAATGTTTTACTAGGATAAAGGTTACATCCACTTATCATATGAAATAAAGGGAGTAATACTAAACTCGCTTTCATATGTTTTCTTTTTATTATTTTATTGGTTTGGTTTTTATTTGACCGTTGGGAAGGATAAGGAGGGATGAGATGAGATGAGATGGTAGTTCTTGAAAAGGAAAAGGAGATGAGATGGTGACGTGGGTCGGGTTGTACTGAGCTTGTGATCTTAGGTGGTGTTTAGTTCGAGGGACTTAACTTTAGTCCCTGTCTTTAGACACTAATTTAGAGTATTAAATATAGACTACTTACAAAACTAATTACATAAATAAAAGCTAATTCACGAGACAAATTTTTTAAGCCTAATTAATCTATAATTAGAGAATGTTTAATCCATAATTAGAGAATGTTTACTGTAGCATCACATAGGCTAATCATGGATTAGTTAGGCTCATTAGATTCGTCTCGCGAATTAGTCCAAGATTATGGATGGGTTTTATTAATAGTCTACGTTTAATATTTATAATTAATATTCAAACATCCGATGTGATAGGGACTTAAAAGTTTTAGTCCCATCTAAACAGGGCCTATCACATCGGATGTTTGAATATTAATTATAAATATTAAACGTAGACTATTAATAAAACCCATCCATAATCTTGGACTAATTCGCGAGACGAATCTAATGAGCCTAACTAATCCATGATTAGCCTATGTGATGCTACAGTAAACATTCTCTAATTATGGATTAATTTGGCTTAAAAAATTTGTCTCGTGAATTAGCTTTCATTTATGTAATTAATTTTGTAAGTAGTCTATATTTAATACTCTAAATTAGTGTCTAAAGACAGGGGCTAAAGTTATCCCTATATCCAAACACCACCTTAATTTTTTGGGTTGGGGAGGAAGAGTGCACGCTACCTCACGCAAACACAGACGTAATGATTGCAATATGTGGCTTAACGAAGTGGTGAAATGGTCCGTATCAGTAGGTTCAGATTTTTTTTTCCCTACGTCGTTGTCTCTATTTTTTTTTCCCTACGTCGTCGTCTCTTCAGAAGTTCAATAGTGCAGCCAACTGCTAGCTCCAATTCATCTATAGTCAATCTAATAGCTTATTCATACAATACTTATATACTACACTATCAATACTTGGTCCCACCTGTCATATGCACACTGCGTTTTGGAGTCCGTGCTACAGCTGGCTACAAATCTGTAGCCCGCTTCTCTTCAGCAGGTACAATAGTAGGCTATAAGCCAGCTACAAATATATTTTAAGAAGATAAATAAGGAGAGAGAAGAGAAGCGGGCTACAGATTTGTAGCCAGCTGTAGCACGGACTATAAGACGCAGTGTGCATATGACAGGTAGGACCAAGTATTGATAGTGTAGTATGTAACTATTGTATGAATGAGCTATTAGATTGGCTATAGATGAATTGGAGCTAGTAGTTGGCTATACTTATAATTTCATTTCAATCATCATGTCCTGGTTTTCCGTAGAAATCGACCGTTTACAATTTTCCATAATCGGCAGGAAGCAGAAAAGTTGAAGAAGACGTGTAAAATCAAAACCGATGTTTATATCATGAGGCAGACTACTTAATATTATACTATTAAAACAAAATATTCCCTACGTTCAATAAAAACGAATCTAAGACCAGATGTGACATATTCTAGTGCTATGAATCTGGACATATGTATATCCAGATTTGTAGTAATAGAATGTATTGGTTTTTTATAGGATGGAGGGAGTAGTTAATATTGTCCACTGACAGCTGCGTTCGTCGAAGTTGTTCACTTCTTGGGGAAAAGTAAAACAATGTGTATTGATATTGAATTTCTGGTCTATTTATAGTCTTGGTATAAAGTCATGTACCCTAAAGCTAATAAATACATGAGAATTTACATGGATACCCTAGTGAATAGGGACATTTATAAAGGTAATTGTAGACAATTTAGCCATGGGCTGCTTAGTGGGCCGTAGCATGGGCCTCCTTTGGCAAATCGGCCCCTTTGGGCCCCAAGTTCTCTAACTCAGATAACGAAGGCGCTTGGCTCGGTGGCAAATGCTTCAAGCTTCGCCCAACAGATTCGCCCGAGGTCATTGCCTATGCGTCAATTAGCGCTTCGCTCCAGTGCTTCGCCCAGGACACTGTTGGCTTGTTTCGGCAGGCTCGGTCGAAGGCTCTCGTGACATGCCTCCAACAGCTAACATGTGCTACGTCAGTTTAATGTCAACACGATATTATAGGTATCGAATATGATAACTTCATAGTAGTCGGGTCGGTCATGCTCTCTCCATTTTATATTATAAGTCGTTTAACATTTGTCTTGGGCATGTTTTACCAAATTTATAAAAAAATATATTAGTATTTTCAACACAAAATAAACATATCATCAAAATATATTCAATGTCAGATTTTATTAAACTAGTTTGGTATTTTAGATGTTGCTAAATTTTTCTATAAACTTGATACAACTTAACTAGAAAAAAAGTTAAACAACTTATAATATGAAACGGGGGAGTAACATTACAGGGGCTAGGGCGGTAAAAATATTTAGGCCCTCACAAGTTATGTATACATGTATAAAAAACAATCATTTGAATGATAAATACAAAGTATAATACTTCCCTTTTGGTTCTATCGAAATTCAAAATTCTGACCATAAATAATTTCTCAAATACTTAGTTAAAAAATAAAAGAAATGGCAGATTTTTCTCGAATTATTGAAATTGTTATTAGATATTATTCTAATATAAAATGACGGCCGTCAAATAATTTTGATCAGACAAAGTGTTTTACTTATATTGTAAAAACATAAAATTAGTAAGTTATAACTGATGATTTAAATTTTATGTTAATATCACCACAAGTATAAAAAAATATATGATGCTGCAACTTAAACACAATAACACAAATCGAGAATAGAAACGTCCACCATAACAAAGACAACCGTTTCTAATGTTATTATTCTTATAGTGCCAATAATATAGCCAAAGTTATTAATAATCCTATCTTCCTCTATAGTTGGTACCCACTAAGAAGTATTTACTCCTATAAAGCAAAACATGCAAGAAGCCACATCATCAACAATTTTAAGCCATTGGATCAAGAAGCTAGCTAACCATCCATTCACCTCCTTTTAGCTCATAAACATGCGTGACATTGTTATCTATTCTGCACATCCAAATCCTCAAAGATAATACTAATCTTTTTTTTTCTAAATACAACTCCAATTATTACATAAGATGTGAGCTTTGTTTTACTATAAACAATTGGATAACATACAATAATTAGGTATCATGAATCCAAACTCATTTTTGAAACATGCTTGAGATGAAGTAGAGAAGTGCTACACTACCTAACTGTGACAATATCCAGATTGTGCATGAAAATAACTTTCATATAACATAACAATACACAATGACGTTTCAAAAAATAAAACATGAATTTTACTGTAATAGCAGAAGCTATATATGAAGCCACATTATCATCTATTTTGTATATACAGAGAGTTGCATCTAATCATTTAAAACATTGATTTTATTCTATGATAAAACTAGCAATTCCCGCGGCAAGGCGCGGGGTGCCAACTAGTTATGTTGAGGACAGAGCCATGCATGCAGACAACGCCTCATGCTTATGCTTTATCTGTTAAACTGTCGGGTTAGTTAATAAAACACTGGGTTAGTTAATAAAACACAGATTATACGTTACAAGGCTAAATCGTAATTATACGCTAATAAACTAAACCTACTGCCAGTGCGGGACCCTTGGCTTGGTGGGGCCAATGCAGCCGCACCGTTCGCCTGCCCCAGGGCTGGGCCTGGTAGCAAATACTCCCCTCCATCCTTCGTCCCATAATATAGGAGATTTTAGATAGATGTGACATATCCTAATATAATGAATCTGGACAAACCATTTGTCCAGATTCATTGTGCTAGGATATGTCACATTCACTTAAAATTCCTTACATTATAGGGCCTGGTAGCAAATACCCCGCAGATGACATGTTGACGTCATGATGATGATATCAGCATGATATCATATATATCAGATTTAGTATCTCCGATACCAGACACGATACCTATAGGTACTAAATCTGGTATGTAGGTATCACGTTGATATTAGCATGTTATATGGTACCATGTTGGTGACGGCATGGTACGTAGGTGTCGGATCTACTACCTCCATTACAGGATATAATATCTTGTATGTACCAGAGGTCCAGATATAGTATTTAGGTACCATGTTGACATTATTATGTTGTCAACTATTTCATTGGAACGCATACTGTTATTTAGTACTCTCTCCATTCCAAATTGATCTATAAATTTCATAGGTACACCAAGACCAAGAAAAACTAATAACTCTCTCATACTATATTTACTCTAGCAACAAACTCAATGCATGCACCATCCCCACTATTTCCTAGCCAATAGCAAATCAAGATATTGCATGTGGGTTATAAATACTTGTGTGCATAGATGCATGCATCAATGTCTATTTACTCCAATGCACAAATAACAAATAAATTTAATAAATGAACACAAATATGTAGATCATTTAGGAATAACATAAAAAAAACTATATGTAGATCAATTTGGAATGGAGGGAGTATTTCAACTATATGATATACGACATTATGTTGGATGTGGTTTCTACAAAAGTTTAATGTTGTGATGGTGAAAGAGAATTAGTGTTCTCTTCATCAGTTACAAAAGAGAATTACTATTCTCCGCAACCAGTTACAAGACACACAGACCAGCCTGTCCATCCTAATAACAAAATCCAATAAAGCCACCAGGATCCCAG